TTACTGTTTTGTTAAAATACAAATGTACATGAAATCTCGGACCACTAAGATTAGATCACTAGGGTTTATTGGCTTTAAACCATTCGTTAACCCAATTTACATTGAAGCCGAACGGTTTGATGAGAGGTGACTGGTGATTATCGATGACGACAACGAAGCTCCGTGCGTTCCGATCATTTCGATTGAGACGATTCACTACGGTTCCGAAAATCTTCTTCCTCACTTTCTCGGTTCATAGATTTACTATTTCTCGATTCTTAGCTCAGACAATCAGTCTAAAGTGAAATGCGTAATACAATCGACAAATACTCAGTCCCGTTTCTCTTCGAGGCTGTGTTTTCACTTGTTACTGCTTCTGAAAGATCCTCTGAGTCTTGCGGTGTTTTCTTGTTTTTCTTTTGTTTAGGGTTGGGAAACGAAAGCTTCTTTTGACAGTATCTTAGGGGTTTTGTTAAGATATGGACAGAATCAATAGATTATCTGATGAGTTACTGCTTAAGATACTATTGTTTCTTCCAACGAAAAAGTAGCTGTTTCCACTAGCATTTTGTCGAAACGATGGGCGTTTCTTTGGATGTGGTTACCAAAACTTGAGTTTGCATATAGAAATCATTCAGAGTCTAAACGCAAGAGATTACAGTGTTTCTTGACATAAATCTGCCATTACATAGAACTCCGGTTATAGAAAGCTTGCGTCTCCATTTTGCTAGTTTACTTCTTAAACCTGAAGATGTCAAACTGTGGGTTATGGCTGCAGTTTCTCGCATCATACGTGAGCTGGAGATTTTTTATGATTCTTGTCTACAAAATCGGAACATATTGTCAAGTAACTTGTATACATGCAAATCGCTTGTGATCTTGAAACTCGATGGAAAAATTCTCCTTGATGTTCCACGTATGGTTTGTCTTCCTTCGCTGAAAACTTTGCATCTTAAATGTGATATATTTCAATGAAGATTGTCTTCAACGTCTTCTATCTAACTGTCATGTTCTTGAAGATCTATTGGTACATAGAAATGCAGGTGAAAATATAAAAAAGCTTACTGTTAGCGTCCTGTTGCAGAGATTGTCACTCTGATACCTTATGATATAGAGAATCAGGACCTATTGCCAAGTAACTTGTATATCTGTAAATCGCTTGTGACCTTGAAACTCGATGGAAAGATTCTCCTTGATGTTCCTCGTATGGTTTGTCTTCCTTCTCTGGAATTTTGCAACTTAAACGTGTGACATACTTCAATGAAGATTGTCTTCAACGGCTTCTATCTAACTGCCTTATTCTTGAAGATATATTGGTAGATAGATATGGAGATAAAAATATGAAAAAGTTTGTTGTTATGATCCCGTCTTTGTAGATATTGTCCCTCTATATACCTTATGATGTAGATGAGTTTGTGATAAATACCCCTTCTTTGAAGTACTTCAAATTTGTGCATCATAATTCTAAGAGTCACTACTGGTTGATTGAGAATATGCCTAAGCTGATGGACACATACGTAGATGCTCAATTCCTTGATCACAAGAGCCTCATCAGATTAATCACATCCGTCAAGCGTCTTGAATTCTGCATAACAGCCGATAATTCAGAGGTAATTAGTTTTCATTTGTCAACTGCAAGTCTTAAATCGTAATTATAGATTCTTCTTCTAATCGTGATGATCATATTGTGCACAGGTAGTGTATGGTGATGGTTTTGTCTTCAACAAGCTTGAACATTTGAAGCTATGTTCATGTGCACAGTATTCGTCGAATGTCCTTGTCTGGTTGCTCAAAGATTCTCCTAACTTACGAGGACTAGAACTCTACCAAATGGGTGTAAGCTTCTTCGATAAACTATAATTTTTTCATCTAATGGTGCACAATATGGTTTTAATCTACTTCTTCTGCCTGATCTCAGAGCCATGAGAATGAGGGTTTGGTTTGCTGGACTCAACCAAGTACTGTTCTGGAATGTATGTTGTCGAGTCTAGAAACTTTTGAGTGGTCGGGATACTTAGGAAGACCACAAGATAGAGATTTTGCGGTTTATATCTTGAAGAACGCTCGTTGCTTAAAGACTGCAACAATCTCGACAGATGACGATGGTGATGACGATGGTTTTGGCTCCACAACTTAAGATGGTCAAGGAGTTAGCACTTTGTTCCCGAGCTTCAACCACATGCAAACTCGTAGTTGATTGAGGATTCGAATCATTTAGATGTCTTTGTTTTTTGTTTTTATAACAGGATTATTGTTTCCTTCTGTACCAGTCTGTTGTCCAAGAAAGATTTAGAGCATTTAATGGTGAACCCATTAAGAGGTCTTAAATTATATTTTAAGATTAAATTAAATATTAAAAAAGAGTTTGACACTCACTTAATTTATATAGTTATATATGTGTGCAATGGTGACACTCAAGTGAGATTCTAAAGAATAAAAAAATAATAAAATTTTGTATTTTATAAATGTTTGCA